ATTTAATGCTGAAATCTAAATATTTTGAACATAAGTTTATGGCTCCAGTTAAATATATTTTGAGTGTAATTATATGCTTTCAACTACAGATAAAATGTATTGTGGGTCATTTTGTTTTAAATATGTATTATTGGTCATTTTACTATAAATAGGTATTGTTGGTTGGTTGATTTTGTTTAGCAGCATATCAACCTCTATGGATTATTTAATGCTGAAATCTAAATATTTTGTATGCAATTTTATGCTTTCAACTACAGATATTTTGTACATAATTTTATACATTTTATACATTCAGCGTAAAGGTAGGTTTTTTAGATATATATTTTGAAGATCATAAAATGTATTTTTAGTAATTTTACTATAAAAATGTACTGTCTATATTTCTGAGATGAGGTACGATGTACATTATTCACATTATTCGGACTATTGTCCTCATGCTTTGTCGCCATATTTATTACAACATTTCGGCCATTGTACGCTCCGGCTTTCTTCAGGTGGTTGGAACTGCAACCCTTTATTTCGCTCACTGGGGTAGACTGTTCTAGTTCCATGTGCCATGTCTAATGGATGTCAGTTATCAGTTATCTCCTGTTAATTTTCCCTCTGAAAGTTCTCCACTGCCTTAACCGGGTATTGAACTCACACTCTTTGGGTTCTGTCACTGGATCTAATCATTTTTTATCCACTGTGCCATGTGTCTTTGAGGACACATGGCACAGTGGATAAAGGGTAAAATAAATCCATTATACCCAGCTAAGGTAGTGGAGAACTTTCAGAGGGAAAAATTAACAGGAGATAACTGATAACTGCCATCCATTAAATATGGCACGTGGAACTAGAACAGTCTACCCCAGTGAGCGAAATAAAGAGTTCAGTTCGATATTCCAACCACCTGAAGAAGGCCGGGGCACACAACGGCTGAAACATTGTAATAAATATGGCGACAAAGATGAGGACAATGTGAATAAAAATGTACTGTTGATTTTTGTTTAGGGGTTCACTATTTGCCCATAACTGGACCCTAACAGGTGCTACCACCCCAGGTCCGGGTGGACCTAGGAACAAAAATAATTAAGAGGTGTTTCCATGCTCCTTGAAACCTCCAATCTCCCAATCAGAGGCTTTGCTGCTGGATGGAGTTTATTGTCATATCCCAGGATGCAAAGATATGAATCGTCATTTTCTAAACAATATAGATTGTAAAGTTGGAATGAAGCATAACAGCCAATCAAGCTACTTCTAACCATTAAATGCACTACAAGCCTGTTGCCATTTAATAACATATGAAAGTAAATATTTTGAAGAAATTTCAAGCTATGAAAAGGTGAAACAAATATCTCTGTTGGAAAATGATGTAGATTATTGAATGCTTAGGAAGTTTTTAGATATCTATCAAGTTTTTGTTATGCTAACATAATGCAGTGATGTCCATTTATCCATATAATAAATGTAAATGTCAGTATATCACACTTTTTCAACATTACTCCTATCATAACATTTTGGAATCAGGCTGACTCTATGAACAAATTAAAAATATTCCAGGCCACATCCAGATCCACAATCCTGAAATTATGGATTCCCAAGTTTTCATTACTGCAGTTGTTTTCAGCAATTTTTTTTATGTGTACATTATTTTTGCAACTAATTTTTTTTTTTGTACAATAACAATATTTATAATTTGGAAATAAATTTAGGAATAATCAAAATTTCAAAATCCAGCAAAAGTCACCCATGAAATAAAAATAATTGTTTGTACAGAAAGTAAGGACCTATGTACATCAAATTGTCTTTAAATTAAGTGGTAAAAGAAAAATTATCATTGAACCTTTTAAAAGGTAAGCTTAGATATTAATGCAATACTTAAATGCAGTGATCAATTTTGAGTTCTTTGGTAGTTTATTGTTGCCTATTGCATTTACTATTCCCTAAGTCATCTGAAGGAGCTAGCTTGAATGCCACCTGATAGAGTGGCTTTTTAGCTAATTTCATTGATATTTACACAATTTTTTTTCTATGCTTGTAACTACCCCACTGTCTCCAAATGTTATAGTTCAAACCATTTTCTTTTACTCACAAAAGTCAATTGATTTGTACAACAAAACATAAATATTTAAATCTAGTGGAATCAGTTGTTTGGAACTGTTTTACATAAGCAAAGTCCAGACCTCCTCTTTGTCCTTCAAAATACAAAAGTTTAAGAACATTAGAAAAACTTGTAAGATATATTTTATTTTCTTAGATATTTAATGAAATGTATATATATATATATATATATATATATATATATATATATATATATATATATATATTTATGCATGTGTGTGTGTTATTTATTTTAGGATATTAAAACAAAACATGTTAAAAATTGCTACATGATTACAATCATGTTTCAACATAACAAATGTGTCTCCTCAGCAATGCCAAAACACTGGCAAGCAAAAGATTAATTTAATTTCAAAAATATATATACACACATATCAAATAGCCAGTTACTCATTTCTGAACATACCCATCTGCTAGTGCAGCTAACCAATCCCTGTTGCAGAGGCCTGCTCGGATACAATTTTGTTGAACACTATGGATCCTACCTGCGGTTTATACAACTATGCTTAGCAGACAATAGGTTTTAGGAGACAGTGTATAATCTGGAATAATAAACCGTTTAAACGCCATTAGACTCAAACACTTAGTGACAATGACTTGTGACTTCATCTTACATTAGAACATTAGAAACACTTAATGAAAAAAACTTTTAAGATATATTTTCTTTGTCTGTCACATTTAAGGAAATGTGTGTAAGTGTGTGTGTCTGTGTGTGTGCATATAAGAAAAACCAAAACCATTGGTGTAAGAACGGACAACTTGCCAAAAGACCTAAATATGCTTAAACAAGATAAAAAATTGAATAGAAACAGCAGTAAGAAAAAAGAAAATGACCTAAAGGCAAACATCTACCTAGTCATTAAAGTGCTCAATGCCTAGATTACCTAGACAGACCAAAAAAAATATGGTGACATTAATTCCTATAAAAGGGTGACCTTAGATGTAACCAGAGTTTCATGCTAACACAATGTGTGTGTGTGTGTGTGTGTGTGACAATTTCCCACCAATAATTGTGTTAGTTTGTTGTACCATTATCCACATAAGTTCTACTGCCATTATTTCTAAAAGTTCATCACAATTCATCTGTCAAGGTTCCCAGTGTTTCCTGTTACATTGAACATTTTATATATCTCTTGAAAATATTCTATCAGGAAATAAACTCATTGTCAATCATTTCTTTTCTCTTTCTTAAGGAACTTTCCAATAGGTACTTGTATATGGAGCTAAGATTTTATCAAAATATGATGCAAACATTTGCATTAACCTCATATTGCAAATACTCTTCAATATAATATTTCATCATTCATTTTCAGGGCTGTAGCAGGAGGAAGGAGCTTAGCTCCTCCAAAATTTTTACCAATTGTAGTATTTTTACAGGGTTTTATTTTAACAAAATACAATAAAAAAAGAAATACAAAAAAGAAAAACTATCAAAGCAGGGAGATATTGCAAATTTTAAATATTCTTGCCACTAACCATATTCATTTTGATAACTAAGGGCTAAATCCTTCATTTTTTTTCTCGCCACCAAAAAAACATTTGTCTCTGTTACGACCCTGATTTTAGAATTTAATAAATTCCTTTAAATTTTATTAATTTATTTTTTAAGTGATCTGCAATAATTGGAAATAAATTCTGTTTGGACATAAAAGAAACATTTTAGTTTTAGTTTTATAAAAGAGAATTTTCATCCTAATGCTCAGAGAGATAATATTTTTGTGTTTTACATTTTTGGCATAAATTCATATACCTAGCTACTGCAAGAGAAAAGTGTCAACTGTTATCATTTCCAATCTCCCCCATTTCTATTTCCTAATAGAAAGTAAACCATCCACAGTTGCTCTTTTTCATTTCAAAAGGTCTGATTGTAAATTTCCTTCCTAAAAATCCCATAAACAAAAGAGACCATCTGTAATATTGCAACAAAATAGAAAAACATTCAATAAACTCTATTAATAAAATACAGGCTTCACCTGACTTTCCAAAAGTAGAGTATTGCTTTGACACATTCTCTAAGATAAAATGACAAACTGTAAAAGAAATTACCATTACTTTATATGTGAATAATTATTGAGTGTTTCCAAGCCCCCTTGGCATTAGATTTGCTACAATTATAGTACTGCAATGATTGCAGGAAAGTATAACTTTGAAAGGATAAATAGGTATAGGGCAGGTTTACTGTATGTTTTGAGTGCCTACAAAGAACTCTATGATAGAATAATGCTTATAGCTAAGCCATCAAGCATACTGCCATATTTCAAGCCTTCCAATCAACCACAGCAGATAATAAACATTGGCCTTCAAAACTGAGTACTGTAAGTTTAGGGCAGGTTCACTGTATGTTTTGAATGCTTACAAAGAACTCTATGATAGAATAATGCTTATAGCTAAGCCATCAAGCATACTGCCATATTTCAAGCCTTCCAATCAATCATAGCAGATAATGAACATTGGCCTTCAGCACTGAAGCCCATAGGTTTAAGGCAGGTTTACTGTATGTTTTGAGTGCCTACAAAGAACTGAATGACAGAAAAATGCATGAGTGTAAGCCATCAAGCATACTGTCATATTTCAAACCTTCTACATCAGCAACAACAGGCAACAGTTCTTGACATTTGAAATTGAGGCAAGAAGGTATAAAAGAAATTTATTTTGAGATTTGGGAGCAATAAAAAATATTTCCTCTATAAATAAAAAATAAACAGTTCTTCACTTGACATCATTTCAGATCAGGCAGAAACTTGTACTAACCTAGAGCTTTCATAAAACTGATCTAAATAGAACATTTGAAAACCAGATCATGTCTGCCTATACATCATGAGAGTCATAGGAATAAAGATGAAGAAAAATATAGCATCTTCATTAAAAGTTTTGAATTATGGTTAGTGACTACTCACTTTTTTTTTCTTTTTTTCTTTTTCTTCTTCTTGTCTTCCTTTGAAGGGGATTCAGACCCTTTTGATGATGCCACCTCCTCCTCAGCCTCCAACTCCCCAATACACTCTGCAGAAACAAATAAAGGAAAAATTCAAGGAAAAAGCACAGCTTCACTGAAATTTATTTGGAAACCAAGACTTATTACACATATTATAAACCTTCTAAGTTAGTAATGATTTTCAATGCATTTCTATCATAAAATAACTAGCAATACATTTACATGATACATATAATTGCCTTATTCTGTCAGTAAACCTTGCATTAATTCCAGACCATTACCAGTCCATTTCTTCTAGACTTTCAATGCATTGCCATAGTGAAATCATTAGCAATATATTTACATTATATATATAATTGCCCTATTCTGTCATTAATTCCTGCATCAATTCCTAAAGACTGCCTTCTTTCTTCTTGATTTTCAATGCATTTCTATATCAAATTCATTAGCAATATATTTGCATTATACATATAATACCTCTATTTTTGTATATATCCACCAGAAATATGCTCAGTAGATGACATGCCAAGCTTCTGCATCTGATTATTGGCTCAATAGAATACCAAACTTGTGAATCTTGGGGTGATCATACATATGTGGCAGCTTTGTGATATGGTTAACTTACAAACGGGGAAGTTTTTTTCATATGTTAAGAACTTAGAACACTTTATAGAATTAATAAGCTTCTATCGATAACAATTGAATGGTAAGCCTGGATGTAATGAGCTTGTTTATCAGTGTTCATATGGATGAGGCTGTATTGGTGGTTCAAAACTGATTGAAATTTGGCACCCTGGAGAATGTACTAGCATCCTGATAGAAATTTTGATATTCTATGTACAGACAAGATTCTTCTAATTAGAGTTTGACATATACTAACAGGACAAAGGTTTTGTTATGGGCTCATCATTGTCACTAGTGATGTTGAACAAATACATATAATACTTTGAGGATATGGCTTTATTAATGACACCACTAAAGCCAGTAGTATGTATGCGATATATATATATATTTTAAGGCAATTCACCCCAAGCAAGGCGGGAGTGCTACTAGCATGCAAGGGGTTACAGAGGATTGAGAACAAGAGTAAAGAGGTGCATTTGAGGAAAGAATACAGAGAAGGATGGGGAACAAGCTCAGGGTGTCAGATGTCGATTGACATTACACTTGAATATTTGAAAATTATAGTCATCGGGGAAACAAGGGGAAGGGAGTTCCACAGACAGGAGGTGTGGGAGAAAAAGATGTTTGAGTAAAAGAGACAATTACATTTAACCATTCTGACAGTGAAAGGGTGGGACCAAGATGCCAGCCTGGTAGCTTGCTTAAATTCATGTAGTCCAGGAACCAGCAAAAGTAGCTTGTTGGAACAATTGCCATAAAAATACTTGTAGAAGAGACAGAGGGAGGCCACAGCATGTCAGTGGGATAGAAATTGTAGACTAGATGCCAGATCAGAACCTATCATCTTGTATATTCATCTCTGGATTTTGTTGAGGACCTTGAGACATAGAGCGGGAGAACCAGACCATATATGACAGCAATATTCCATGCAAGGATGAATGGTTGATTTATATATAAATGACAACTTCACCAGGAAGCTGTACAAATACTGTTGGATCATGTCATTGGGCTGGGCAGTGCTGACTTAAGCACAGTGGAAACAGGGTGAGAAGTAACTGACTAGTGCTAAATAAGAACAAGATGAAATATATCCCTAGACATGGACAGCAGAATGAAAACAATATACTTCTATAGACATAAATAAAAGATTAAGTTCAAAATATCCTGAAGGTTATCTGGATCAAAGGCTGGAGGGCACAATGGCTAAAATGTTGGGATAATAACAACAACAAAGATTAGAATAACAAAGACAGTCCAAGTGTAAATAATATAAATAATGATAACTCTTTATCCTAAAAATTCAAACAGAAATTACTGATGTTTATTTATAATCTCCAATATATAAAGATTGCTATTGGTTGTAAGAGAGATATAACCTCAAAAGAGAAACAAAATATTATCAATGGAAATGTTGGAAATTGTGAAAAAGATTAATAGAGATCATTGAACAATAAAAAAAAGGAAACTGAAAACAATAGAAATATCAGAATGTAAAAAATAAAGAACTGGCATGTAACAAACAAGAGATTTGAGAAAAATTAAAAGGGTAATAAACAAAGAAAGAGGATTGACAAACAAGAAAATATTTTAAGAATTTAGTGTTGTGATTATAAACAGAGAGAATAGATTAAAAATATGAAGAACATTGGCTAAAGACATGAAAGCAAACAAATTTAAGTAAACATCACTAAGCAAAACATGTTGGATGAAGTATATGAAAAACTGACTTTAACAGTAATTTTTGATGATGAATGTAGAGCTACACTGGCTAGACTTGATGGCTGGGTAGAGTTTGAGTCACTCATAGAAATTGTCAACCAACATGCCTCAGAAGACAAGAGATAAAAATAGAGCAATGTCTGGTACTAGTATTGTAGGTGCCAAAATTATAGGCCCCTTTTAAGTTGATGCAGAGAATTATATTAAGTTCTTAGAAAAGATAATTTTGAAGTGGTACAGATCACAAGCAATAATTTTTTATGCTGAGGAGTATATTCATGCAAGATGATGCTCATCCACATTCTGCAAAGCTGTTCATTGCCCACCTTGCCAAAAAGTGTTTTAAAAACACCAAATTAATGCAATTACTCAGTCTCTCAAGTTATTAATCAATAGAAAAATTGTGGCCCAACCTTAAAAAAGGTAAATATGTGAATGAAAAAGATTAATCAACTAATAAAAACTGCTGCAAATAATGTTAAAATTGAAGATTTTGAAAGATTGCCAAAAATCAATGGTTGAAAGACTGATGAAGGTTACAGAAAGTCAAGAACCAATATTAACATGTAAAATAATAATTTATTCAGATACATAGGACACTGTATTAATTAAATTATATATTTTTATTGGTTAAAAATCTAATTTGTACTGAATTTGTTTACATAAGAAAACCTGACATTCCCCTAACAAGTTATTAGCAATATTTCAATAGAGGGTAGATATTCTAAGCTGGAACTCAAATGATATATTGCTCATATATAGTTTCCAAGTTTTGCCAATATTGGTATATTAATACTAATTGTATTGTAAAAACATTGATTTGCCAAAATAAAATCTGATATGATGTAAACAAATATAATGTTATATAGTGAAATTGCTGTAGATAGATGTAGATATAACAAAAAGATATAAAATAATTGCAGGAAATACAGGCAAATTCCAAAACACAGTGAATGAGATCTGGGCTGACTGAAATCGATTGATAGAATTGTATCATGAGACAGAAAATAAGATAATAAGCTAAAGAAAGAAGGCTAAAACAAATATAATTAAAGATAATTTTCTAAACAAAAAACAAAGTTGATTGAAAAGAAAAAAAAAACAAGCAAAAGAATGGGAAAATAAAATTAAGGTAACTGATGCAATTACAGAAGAGATAGTGACATTGGCAGTCAAGTCACAATCCCTAGAGAAAGAAGCAGAAAATTAATCAGCAGACTGACATCACCAATCAATAGGCTCCTGTTTATGTAAGTCCGATTGGACATAAGTAAATTCATTTGCAGCCTATCTAATTTACAGCTAAAGAGGTCACTTGCTAATTTTGCCAGCACAGTTTGGACATTGTTTGGTGTGAAGTAAAGGTCAATATTTAAAAGATAATATCCAGCCTATTGCAAGGACAATGTGTTTCCGTCAGTATTCATTCAAGTTTTCTCATTTACAAGAAGCATCCAAGAATAATCAATAAATGCTAGTTTATATAACCTTTGGAAAACACGGCCCATAACCAAATTCATCAAATTTACAAGCTTGTAAACAATTGCTAATTTGGTTGATAAAATACAGTTTTAGCATTTACAGGCTTAATGCTGGAAAGATAATTTAGAACTAAGTTATTATTATGTTGGCGTCACACACTGACAGAGTCAATGAAAATTCTGTTCTTGAGGCATGGTGCCAACAAGACTGCTTCCAACTCAAGAACTTTTCAGAGAATCCCTGTAGAGTAAATAATGGCAGTTCTTTGCTGGTTTACAACCTTGGTTTCAATTTCAATTAAGGGCTTAATGAATTTTCTCAGTGGTATTCCAAACACACCCATTACTATAGGAATTAGTTTTACAGTCATGCTCCATACGTTTTTCAACTCCCTATCTAGCTCCTGGTATTATTATTAAGTGTGGGAACAGCATGCTAACAAAATGATGCCAAAGTACAAATATATGAAGTCTAATATACCCGTCACAACATTTGGTCTAATAAGTGTATACCAGGTACATGTATCACAGCCAAATGGGTGCAATATGATGATAGGCTTTGATAAGAACAGTGCATAGCCTTGCAGGAGAGGACACTTAGAAATACATTCTGTTTAAGTAACTCAGTTTGCTCAGATCAGTTCCAATTGAGGGTGTTCCCAATTATAAAGATCTGATCCCCAAGTCAGATTCATCTTTCAAAGTTAAAAAAAACAAAACTTTTAATGATTGCTCATGATGCTTCCCAGCTATTCCTGTTCATGGAAAGAGATGCACAGTCAAGGCTGGATTTACCATTGTGTTTAGCTGTGCTTGGGCCCCATCTTCCTTCTATGCCTATGTAGGCATGATGGGCCTACTTCCTACAGATCCCAAGTAAGGGGCCTAATAACTAGCACAGGGCCTCAAAGTAGGAAATCTTGAACCTTTATGTCTGCGGTACATCAAGTGAATGGTTTTTCCATTAACACCACTATTATTTTAACTACCTTCACTCCTTGAAGTGAACTTGTATATTTTTTGTTGAGAATTTACAACAAAAATATTAAACACTATTTATGAGATTGTTTATTTACAAGAATAACTTTATATTTACAATATTTTAAAAACTAATACAATGCAATATTTATCATTTACCAATTTATAAACAAATAAATTAATGCAATTTTTTATTTATAAACATTTACTAAATTATTAAAATATGTGAACCAACTATAAGGAAATCCTTATTATTTACCATTTTA